TTCGCCCAAAACACAACGTCATCGCTCGTACCTCGCTCTTTCCGTTACCTGGCCCGGCACAGATACGGGAAGAGCGCTTCAGAAACAGAAACCGAAATTACTCACACCACCGTTCGTACTGGGAGCCTTGGCGTCGAGAGCTTATTACGTCACCCCTCGCTCTTGGGAGCCTTAGTGTTCAGAGATTGTTGCGTTGCAGCCCGTTCCTGAGCCGTGGCTGGGCCTTGGTGTCAGAAACTTGTTACGTCACCGCTCTCTGCTGGGAGCCTTGGTCTTATCAGCTTGTTTACGTCACCGTTCGCTCTTTGGAGCCTTGGTGTGAAGAGCTTTTTGCGTTACCGATCGCTCTTTATTTGGCGTCTCTGGGCCTTCTTGGGAGTCCATTGGGGCGCTTTTCGGGCCCTTTTGGAGGCCTCTTGGGAACCTCTGAGGGGCCTCTTGAGACTTCTTGGGGGGCTCTGGGAGCCTCCTGGGAGCTTCTTGGAGCGAAAGGCTAGACTTTTCGGTTCGTGGTCCCCCTCTTGGGGCCGTCTTGGGGCCCTCTTGGGCCGTCTTGGGCGCCTCTTGGGCCGTCTTGGGGCCCTCTCGGGCCGTTTTGGGAGCCTCTTGGGGGCCTCTTGGGCCGTCTTGGGGTGGTCTTTGGGGCCTCTTGGATCGTCTTCGACGCCGTGAAAGCCGAAAAGCCCTGTATGCTACAAATGCACCTTTTCCCGTAGGAAATCAATGATTTTGGCCTCCCGGTGGCCTCTTGGGACGCCTCTTGGGAGCCTTTTGGGGCTTCTTGGGGGGCTCTTGGGGCCTCATGGGAGCGTCTTGGGGCGAAAGGCTAGACTTTCCGGTTCGTGTTCCTTCTGGGGCTTCTTGGGGGGCTTCTTGGGGCTTCTTGGGGGGGCTCTTGACGCGGCGGTGGCGGCCAGGGTGCACCAGACCACAACCGGACAATCGCCTGCCGGGCGGAACTGCCGTCCTTCTTCTCCCCACCACCCTCCACCCTTCCACCCCCCCCCCACGTCTCTCCCTCTCCCTCCCCGGCCTTTCTCGCCCCGGTCTGCTCCCCTCTCCCCTCTCCCCCCCCAGTCTCGTCTCGGTCCCTCCCTCGTCGCTCACCTCTCGCACCCCTCTCACCCGCCCCGCCTCCCCACCCCCAGTTCCTCTCCTCTCCTCTCCCTCCCCCACCCCCGTCTTTGCCGCCATTCGCACCCCCCCCCCCCCCCCATCGCACCCTGGTGCACGGCGGGCGTCCCCGGCGGCGTCAGCGGAGGACGGCATCAGCGTAGGCTCGGGGAGCGGGCGACGGCACGAAGTTCATCAAATAGTACCTGCCCCTGGCCGGCGGCGGCGGCGGCGGCAGGCGCCACTTCCCCCCCCCCCCGTCCCTGCCCTGGGCACCTTCCGCCCCCAGGCCAACGGGCACGGGCACGCCCAGACTGGCGGCGGGGAAGGAACGGGGGACGGGGATTTTTTTTCCTCCCGCCGCCGGCTTCAGAAGGCTCCGAACGAAGCGTATTTCTGCACGTTGCTCCGGGTGGGAGGGGGAGGCCCGTGTTTCCTGCCCCCCCCTCTCGTCAAATCCACCTGCGATCCGGCGCCGGCTGCCGCGCGCTGGGCGGCGCCAGCGCGGGGGCCGCGCGGCCCGCGGAGGGGGAGCGGGGAGGCGGAGGAAGAGGGTGGGCGGAGGATCGGATGGGGTAGTGCCGCCGCGCTAGCGCCATGTCCAACATTTTGCCCCTGCAGCGCGCCCGTTCCCATTGCTCTGGATTGCGTCGCGTCCGCGCGGTGCCCCAAGAGGATTTCCTTCACCACGGTGACCCCCCCCCTGTGATGCGCAGTCAGAAGAGAACAAGGTTCTGCAATTACATTGGAGGAGGAGGAGGAGGAGGAGGAGGAGGAGGAGGAGGAGGAGGAGGAGGAGGAGGAGGAGGAGCAGCAGGAGGAGGAGGAGGAGGAGGAGGAGGAGGAGGAGGATTTTTTGACATCAGCCGTGCCCAACAGACGACGGGTGCGCCGTCGCCACCTGCTCACTGGCCTGGATGAAGGCAGGCCAGCGAATAGTAAGAAAAGGGGAAATGGGAGGGCGAGCGCGACAGCCACTAGGCGATTTCCCGCAACGGGGAGGATCCCCTGTGGCTAACCGCCCGCCCCCCACAGGCCAAGACCTATGAAGAAGTGAGGTCGAGGCCGAGACGCTATTCAGGCAGGGAGGCCTGAGGAGCATCTCTCAGTCCGAGTCGTCAGACTTCGCCACAAATGGGGCGACGAGGGGAGCCCCTCCCTTTTCGAGGGCAGGGGCGTCCCCGACGCGCGCCAACTCCGCAGTCGACGACTGGGGCACAGACGACGGCAGCGACCTAAAATGTGAGATGGCCTCGGGGCTGCCAACTAGAAACCGAGCAGCTTCTTCCTCCGCCTCCAGCGGGTCAAAGGCCACTGTAACAGGCACTGAAGCAGGCTTGGTGCTCGACGACGACGGTCTGACGACGACCCGATATCCTTGCTTTTGTGATGCCTGTGCCGAGGGAGGCTCAACCTCCGTTGGGACGGCAACTGGTGAGCCTGGCGTTCCCCCAGCGGCCACAATAAGCCTACGCACAAGACTGGCAGTGCGTAACTCCTTTTTCACGGTCAGTGAGGCGCCGCGGCAGCTCCTCTGTGTCCTGGTCACGATACCAGGGACCGACCTCAACAGAAACGCCTCGGCGCTTGGGGTGCTTACCAGTGCCCGCAGAAATCCATGCTGACTTGGCCCCAGCACTCTAGGGACAGCCATCACACTTCCTAAGTAAATTGCGAGGCAACCCATGGGGGGAGAATAGGCATAGCATCGTATACAAATGGTGAGCACAGCCCCGTCCGAGCAAGGCAAAGCAATGCAATTGTGCTGGAGGGCGCGAAGAGACGCAGCCTCAAACTTCGAATCTCTGAGACACTTGCCAGGGAGCGGCGGGTCTAGGCCTCCGAGCTTCCCGTCGCCACTCGGACTAAAGCGCGGTACTCCCTTGGCTACTTTGAGACGCTCGGAGCACTGCCAAACATCGGAAACCCGAACCCACAGATGAGGTAGAGGATCCACCTTGGGTTTCGGGGGCTTTGGAACCAATGGTACGCCTTTGAGGTCGAGCCTGGGCCGCGTCGGCATAAGCCCGGCAGAAAGACGCATGACACATTTAGCAATCGACAGGCACCGATCAAGCCATACGACATCGCACGGGTCGGGTTGCGGGTGCCTGACAAGTGAATGTTTGGCAACGCTGTCAGCTAGGTCATTACCCAGCTTCCATAACCGGTCCAACTCTGAAAGATCCCTAGATTCTTCAACATGGGCCTTAACCTTGAAAACTCCCTCGACAAACTTCCTATGGCACGCTTATAAGACAGGGCCCGCATCAGAGGTTCGTTCGCTTGAACCACGACGTTCTTACAATCGGAGTAAATGGAACTCCCAGGCAAATCGTGCATCGCAGCAACAGCGTAGGCCCCAAACTCCCCACTTTGGCCAGTTTGGAGGTTGGGGGCCCACAAGGGACAACTGATACGGCAAACCTCAACGCCGTCATCCCCTACGACCACGATTCCCCGCCCACCAGCCCTGGAGAGTTTTTTGATGGCATGCGTGGCGCACGACCCATCGACGAAAGTGTGACCAGAGATATCGAGGGACTTGCAGGTGCGGTCGTGGGCCCATATAAGCTCAAGGCCAGTATCCGCACCATCGCCCCGAGCAGAAAAGAGAAACACATTTCCAGGATGCCGATAAAAGACCTCTGGTGTACGGCAGGAAATCACCCTCATCCTTCTCACGGGTCAGGTCGGGCGGGGGCATGAGGGTAAACCACTCCTTGAAACTGTCAGACACTTCCTGTCTCTTGTCGTGGCACGCGGAGCAAAACCAGAACCGATGAAACATGGTATCGGCCGCAACACCGCAAAAAGGTCACACGTCGTGTCAACACCACATCCAGTTTCGGCGGCTGTCATCCTGGCCCAGGTGGCATGACAAGCAACTGCTATGGCACACCCTCGCTGAATAGGTGTGCCCTTCTTGGAACGCAGAGTGGCTGCCACAACATCGTGACAAACTCGAGCACCAGGCGAGTGAGGAAGCAAAGCAGCACCACTGGCTTGCGCATGGGTCCTCTGCACCGCGGCCTTCAAAAGCTTCTTCAAAAGGGCAGGGGAAGTGACAGTGAGCGAAACTTCAGTCCCGAAATCATCCAGGAGGGTGCAGTAGTTAGGCATGCTCCAGGAAATCCGATCAAGGGCAAGCTTCATGGCCCCCGGAGGCCCTTTTCACTCCCCGCCAGGCTTTGGGGCCCAAGGTACAAAACACACAGGCCCAGGCGGCCCGCAACTCAGCCCAAGGAGTGACAAACGGGAAAAGTCTAGCTTGGTTGGCCCATATTTCCTTGGCGTAGCGCACGATAGGCGCCACGGCGGGGTACCAGGTCGGGCCCTGGGAGAGAATGAGCAGCGATGTCCGTGACCTCATCTTGGCAGAAGGCTGCGAAGTGCTGGCGGCTGCGACCTGCGGCCTTTCCCATTCAAAGCTGGAGAGGCCGTGGACTTCGGCCCCTAAGGTTAAGCTAGGCACGGGACCAGCGGCAAACACTTTGACAGCATGCCTGCCAAGCGGCCGCTTGGCCCTCCCGAGCCTGCTGAGCTTTTTGTCACACGTTCGCTTGCGGTCGGTAGCCTTTTTACCTCCCCTAGGGACCCCTCGAGAGCAACTAAGGGGAACAATGAATGCTTAAGTTAAAAGCCGACTGCACGACAGGTCCCGCAAGCCCTCCAAGACAGTCTCTGACTTGAGTTGCGAGCGCGTCCGACGAGGCAACGAGGGGGGCTTTGTCAACCGAAATAACCGCAGCCATGCCGTTCTCGATGGCCTCCCTGAGGGAAGAGGAGGAGGAGGAGGAGGAGGAGGAGGAGGAGGAGGAGGAGGAGGAGGAGGGGGAGGAGGGGGAGGGGGAGGAGGAGGAGAGGAGGAAAAAGAGCCATAATTGCGGGTGGCATGGGTGAGAGGTAGTAACATGGCGGCAAAAGAGCGTCTTAGTCCGTGCGCGCACTGTAAGCCAAGATGGTGGTGGGAGCGCGCGCGTGCGCTCTTCCTATACGAGTCGGGGCTACCGGGTAATGGAATATGTCCCTCCGAAACGCTTTGGCCTTGGAAGAAAACGCGGAAAGAGGCGATGAAACCGTCGCTGCGCTACTTTTGATCACGCGCGTCTAGCAGCTGGCTGTCTCTCGTGCATCTCGCCCATGACTCAATAGCCTCAGCCCAAATGGTGGCGCGGTGAACCCTGGGGAGCAGCGCGTGCTCATCCGAGGCCAACGATTTTACTGATCTGTGCTTGGGCACGTTTTGTCGCGCGTTTTGGTTCCGGGGCACATTTGGAATCGAGACCCGCGGTTGGGCCACCTCAGGCATGCGACCTTTTGCCAGACAGTCTGACCCTCGATCAGAAACCCGCGGCGGTGCTCGTCGAGGTCTGTGGTCAAGGCCGCGCGCGCGACGGGCGTGCGCACGGTGGTAGATATCGATCGTTTCCTTGGCCGCTGCCCAGCACAATTGTTGGTGGTACTTGTTTAGTCGGCTTCTCTCCATTCCAATGATCAAGAGCGAATTGTCGCAATCACAATGCTCGAAGAAGTGGGGTCCATTTGATCGTAACATGTCGTGGCCATCTCCCAAGGAATCGGAGCGAGTTGGCACGGTTCGCAATATTTCCTCAGAAATGGGAGCGCCCTGGAGCGTTCAAATAGGCTCGCCGGCGCCGGGGACTAAAGTCGGGTGCGGGGGGGGTGGGGGAGTTTTGGAAAAGTGGGCTGCCCCTGGGCCCGGGGACCTGGACGCCAGGTATTATATATATATATATATATACACATATACATACGCCACGCGTGCGACGCGGGGCGATGACATCATCAGTCCGCGCACAAGTTCCATTCACTCTGCGAGAAAACAAGTTGGATCGGCACGCTTCAGGATATCAGCCATTGGATCATATCGAAACTATTGCGTTTACTTGAGTATCAGTGAGCATTCGCATTGGCGGTAAGCCAAAATTTTTGCCCGACTGTACCCACAGAAGCTGCCGCAAACTACGCGCGGCGCAACAACGCGGCTAGTACATATTGCCAACCAGCCGCGGGCCCTCAATCCCCAGTCGGGGTTAGCAGGATGCTTGCTGGTGACGGCGAGGGCGGTCGCGAAGGCAACGCCGCTGTGCTCAGCAGGGCGAGGAGCAGGCAGCCGCCCCACGTCGCTGTGTAGGCCTGGCCCGTCGTCACGAGCTTCGCGCTCAGGAATGGCGAGAAGAGGCTCGGAACCCCCTGTAGGGTCTGGAACATCCCCATGGCAGTCCCGCGAGACTCGGTGGGGTACGACTCGGGGGTGTAGAGGAAGAGGACCGCCCAGACGGGGATCATGAAAAAGTACACTGCGCAAGAAAGCAGGATCACAACTCTGGGTGGGAGCGCCAGTGGGCTAAGGGTGAAGGCCGCCGCGGAAGCAGCGGCGAGGTTGATGCGCAGCGTCCCCACGCGCCCAACGCGCGGGTGGTCCACCAGCAGCGCCGCAACGCCGCAGCCAGGCAGCTCGCAAGCGACCATGGCGAAGATCGTCCGATTGGCGGGCACTCCCGGCCGCCACGAGAAACTCTGGGAGGAAGAGCGTCAGGCCCCAATAGGCGGTGCTCTGGAGCAGCCAGATCGCCGCCAACGGCGCGGTGACGCGGCCGGGGGAGAGGCGCAGCACCGACGCCGGCGCGCCTCGATCGCATGCAGCCCCCCGCTCTCCCTCGGTGGCCATGGCTCGCATGAGCTCCTGCTCTTGCGGGAGCCTGCCTGAATTCCCGTTGACGCTGCCGATCCGCTCCAGCACGACGTACGCGTCGGCGTGCTGCCCCCTCGAGGCGAGGTAGTGCGGCGTCTCGTCCGACTGGACGTACCGGAGGCACCCTGCTGGCAAGGTCGGAAGAGCCGCCAGCACGACAAGGCACCGCCACCCGACCTGCACGAAGGCAGCAAGCGCAGCCAGGTACAGAACGCCCAAGCAGCCGGTCGCGAAGATGGCGTGGAGGTACCGGCCGCGGGAGCGAGTCGGGGCGAACTCCCGGAAGACGACGTAATCCACTACCGCCAGCGCCCCAGTCCCCATGCCAGCCAGGGAGCGCATAGCGACCAGCGCGGGGAAGCTCGCACACAGCGAGCAGAGCAGCCCAGCGCCTCCCACAAGCAGCAGCGAGCCCGTGAAGACGGGCCTCCTGCCGTACAGGTCGACCAGCTTGCCCGCCCATATGGAGGCAGCGAATGAGCACAGGCTCGCAATGAAAGGAAACCAGGCATACTCCGCCTCGGTAAGCGCAAACTTGCTCCTCAAGGGGGCCTCAAAGAACACCACGAGCAGCAGCTCGGAGCACACGGCGAAGTAGCCCGCCGAGCACAGCAGCACCACACGCCACTGGTAGCCGCCGAAGCCCACTGCATCCAGCACAAGCTCCACGGGGTTGGCCATTTGGGTCTGTGTGGGGAGCGGTTTTGGGGTGCGAGGCAAACCAGGGCCGCAGACACTTTGAGCGAACTTGAGCCAGGGCCCTCAACAATTATACTGGGAGCATCGTTCCGGCACGCTCCTCTCGCAGTTCAGCCTCGCGGACCCCCAGAGGCGCCCAGCTGGCCCTGCAAGACGGCTGCACTGGGCCTCCCTTCGGCATGCCCTCGCGCACCTCGAGCCCCACGGATCTCCCGGGGGCCCCCGGGCCACTTGCGGCTCCTGGGACTCCTGGGAGCCTCACCTGGGCGCACCTCTCTCGCAGTTCCGCCTCCTGGACCCTTAGTGGCGCGGAGGAGGAGGAGGAGGAGGAGGAGGAGGAGGACGTTGAGGAGGAGGAGGAGTGAGGAGGAGAAGGAGGAGGAGGAGGAGGAGAATGATGAGGAGGAGGAGGAGCAGGAGGAGGAGGAGGAGGCGCTCTGCACGCCTTTCGAACAAGACTGCTAAAAATGGGGCCTCGCTTCCGCATGCCCTCACGCACGTCGTGGCCAGTGGACTCCCACGTCCTCCGCTGGCCCCCCAGGGGCCCCAAGAAAGACCCACTCGCGGCCGAGAAGGCTACAACACGCTCCAAGATGGCTTCGAAGGCTCCTCGAGAAGCAACATATTGCTAGGCACCGTCGCTGCAAAGCGGCCCCACACTCTGCACAAAGACTCCAAGACGCCCGCCCCCCAGACCTCCCTGGTGAAGCCAAGATGCGCCCCAAAGAACACTTGCAGCGATTGGTACCGAGCCTCGCCGACGCCGTGCCCCCGAACACCCACTGATTGAAGATTTGCATGCTCGGTTCGCCTTTGCGGGCCCACCGTGACCTCCCCCTCTGCGGGCTGAACTCAGCGGCCCCCCTGCGGGAGACCGAGGGTGGTTAGATGATTGAATGGAGGATCGTGAGACTGCATGAATCACGTAATGCTAGGAGTGGTTCCGCGCATTCATTCCTCCCGACCAGTCTCCTGGGAGAGGGGTGGGGAGGGGGGAAGGGACGGGGGAGATAGAGAGAGAGCGAGAGGCAGAGAGAGAGAGGGGGGAAAAAAAGAGAAGGGAGAGAAGAGGGGAGGAGAGCACAGAAGTTCAGTTCAGTTCAGCCTGCGTGCCAACAAAAATAATATTGCCAACGTAGATTCGGCCGTCAAAATCGTCGTTTACGTTAACATCTGAACCAAGGGCTCCACTTGAGAAGCTCGTGGCTTCACTTCTCCGGATCTCCTGTGAAATGTTATGTCATTTGCGCGGACGCCCGGGTGCTGTGTATAGTCTACCAACCGTTTGTCTCCTGCACGCGAAACTCTGGAATATATGTCGTGTAATCTGTCGCCACGCCGTCCGTAGCTTGTACCTATAGCTGGCAGCCAACGTCCAACACTCAAATGCGTTATCGTCCAACACTCACAAGAGAGAACGGACAGTAAGAGAGAATACAAGACACAGTATAACATCTAGGAGAAGACAGAAGATAGCATATAAGGGATGACAATATATCAAAGAAGAGAAGAGAAAATCTACATTAACATGTAACACAAGAGGAACATGCCATCATATACCACCTATGAAATTAGATCACTAATGATACCGGAGAAAAATCCAAATCATAATATGTTTAGGCTGTAGGGCTATTGGGCTATATGGGCTATAGGGCTGTTGGGCTATAGGGAATTGAGCTACAGGGCTACAGGGATATAGGGCTATAGGGCTATAGGGTATAGGGGTATAGGGTTATAGAGCTATAGGACTATACGGCTGTAGGGCTACAGGGCTATTGAGCACTAGGGCTATAGGGCTATAGAGCTATAGAGCTGTAGGGCTACAGGGCTATAGGGTTATGCGGCTATAGGGCTATATGGCTATTGGTTTATGGGGCTATAGGGCTATAGAGCTATAGAGCTGTAGGGCTACAGGGCTATAGGGCTGTTGGGCTATAGAGCACCCCCGGGCACCCGGGCACCCCCGGGCACCCGGGCACCCCCAGGCACCCGGGCACCCGGGCGTGCGGCGAAAATCGGCGGCAAACCTAACCTAGCTATATGAATCCGCGAGGACCCCTACAGAGGCAAGCTCTGATTGGGGAACTGGAGCCACGCGCGCGCTTCGCCCGCGCTCAGGTTCTGGCGTGTCACACACAGGAATCGCCGTGCGAAAACATGTTTGGAATCCCCAAGGCATCATTAGCATGACCTGCATCAGCACGCGCACTAGGCTCATGCGTGCAAGGTGTGGTCTTTCTTGGTGATGGTAGAAGGTGGCCGCGCACATTCGCAGTAAAAATTGCAGCAATGTCGAAGATGAAGAGCGGGTCCTTTTACCTAACAGCGTAGACTGATAGGTTTCTAGTTGACTCAAAAGAGCTCACAGATCACTCCACAGGGGGGTCCGGGCAGGCGTTGGGAGTTGCCGGCCGGGCCTGTGCCGGGCTCGTTTTTCACCAACAGTCACACACTTCGTGCTCGTCGACTTCCCAGAACCCATTCCCAGGCCACATTCTGAATAACCGGATGCAACCGTCACACACTTCGTGGTCTTCGAGTCCCAGAACATTCCCGGGCCACATTTTGAATGCCCGGAGCCAACTGTAGGCCACTTCGTGGTCTTCGAGTTCCCAGAACTCCATTCCCGGGCCACATTTTGGATGCCCGGAGCCAACTGTAGGCCACTTCGTGGTCTTCGAGTTCCAGAACTCCATTCCCGGGCCACATTTTGGATGCCCGGAGCCAACTGTAGGCCACTTCGTGGTCTTCGAGTTCCCAGAACTCCATTCCCGGGCCACATTTTGGATGCCCGGAGCCAACTGTAGGCCACTTCGTGGTCTTCGAGTTCCCAGAACTCCATTCCTGGGCATGATTTTGAATGCCCGGAGCCAACTGTAGGCCACTTCGTGTTCTTCGAGTTCCCAGAATTCCATTCCCAGGCCACATTTTGAATGCTGAGGCAGGCTGAGGCTGAGGCTGAGGCAGGCTGATGCTGAGGCAGGCTGAGGCTGAGGCCGAGGCTGAGGCTGAGGCAGGCAGGCTGAGGCTGAGGCTGAAGCAGGCTGAGGCTGAGGCTGAGGCAGGCTGAGGCTGAGGCAGGCTGAGGCTGAGGCTGAGGCAGGCTGAGGCTGAGGCTGTGTCTGTGACTGCCGTTGCCACTGCGACTGTCATCGCGAATGCGACTACGACTGCGAGAACAGCACAATTCTACAACTGGATTCTCATTTGAATCTTAAGGGGAATGCTTCCAGATATGCTCCTACACATCGCTGTTAGGTTGCTTTGCCGGGATAATTCAATGTGTGGTTATCGCTCCAGTGGCAACACCTGCCTGAGGCACCGCCGGGCACGGACCCTGTGGAGAGTGTGGCAAGTCGGACCAGCTCTCTGGTCAACCCTCTTGGGCGCGCCCTGGGGCTCTCTTGGGCCGTTTGGGGGGGCCCACTGGGGGGCTGTTTTGGGCCTCTGTTGGTGTTTTTCTTCGGGTCTCTTGGGGGCCTCTTGGGGCTTCACGCTCGAATCTTCGGTTCCTCGTCCCCGTCTTGGGCGCCGCCTTGGGGCGTTCTTGGGCGGTTTGGGTGCCCCGGGGCCGTCTTGGCCCCCTCGTGGGCCGTCTTGGAGCCCTCTCGGGGGCATCCTCGACCGGCTTGTGTGCCTCTTGGGCCGTCTTGGACGCAGTGGAAACCCCAAAGGCAAACACGCCAAAAATATCAGTTGTCCCATCAGAAGTCTGCTATTTTTGCTTAATTATTGGCGCTCTATTCGGATGCCCCTTGGGGGTCTCTTGGGGACCTCTTGGGGCTTCTTGGGCGCTTCTTGAAGCCTCTTGGGGTCTCCTGGGGGCCTCTTGGGCCAAATGGCTTGCATGTTCGGTTCCTCGTCCCCGACTTGGGCGCCGCCTTGGGGCGTTCTTGAGCGGTTTCGGCGTCTCGTGGGCCGTCTTGGCCCCCTCGTGGGCCGTCTTGGAGCCCTCTCGGGGGCATCCTCGACCGGCTTGTGTGCCTCTTGGGCCGTCTTGGACGCAGTGGAAACCCCAAAGGCAAACACCCCAAGAATATCAGTTATCCCTTGGGAAATCTACGATGTTGCATATTTGGGGCTCTATTGGGGTGCCTCTTGGGGCGTCTTCGGGGCCTCTTTTGGTGTTTTATCGGTCTCATGGGGGCCTCTTGAAGCTTCTTGGGCGCTTCTTGGAGCCTCTTGGGGTCTCCAGGGGGTCTCTTGGGCCAAAAGGGGCGAATTTCTGGTTCCTCGTCCCTGACTTGGGCACCGCCTTGGGGAGTTCTTGGGCGGTTTGGGCGCCTCGTGGGCCGTCTTGGGGCCCTCTTGGGGGCATCCTCGACGGACTTGGGTGCTTCTTGGGTCGTCTTGGACGCAGTGGAAGCCCAAAAGGCGAACACGCCAAAAACATCGGTTTTCCCACGGGAAATCGACGATTTGTGCTTATGGGGGCTCTCTCGGGGTGCCTCTTGGCGTCTTCAGGGCCTTCGGGGGCCTTCTTGGCGTCATGGGAGTCGTCTTGAAAGGCATCCGGAGCCATCGGAGCACGTTTTCGAGCGTTCCGAAGCCATCTTCGGGTGATCTTGGACGGCCCGCGGCTCTCCGGCAAGGCTCCCGGCGCGCTGGGTCCCACATTTGCGGTCAGGGTCCCGGACCCGGTCCCCCGTTATATGTAGAAGAGGCAGAGCAGAGACAGAGATGTATCACAAAGCACAGAGAGAGGAATAGAGAGAGAGAGAAACGAAAAAAGAGAGAGAGAGAGAGAGAGAGGGAGAAAGAGCGAAACAGAGAAACGACAGGGAGCAGAGAGAGAGAGAGGAGGAGGAGGAGGAGGAGGAGGAGGAGGAGGAGGAGGAGGAGGGAAAGGAGAAACGGCATGGTGAGAGAGAGAGGAAATGAAGGTCCAAGTTCACCAACAACAATATGCTGCTCGCTGGCTCACCACATGTCCTCATCCCTGTAGTTCTTTCCCGAGCTGGCACCACCAGTAGTGGTAGTAGTAGTAGTGGTAGTGGTGGTAGTCCACCCTGGACCATCGCTGCTGTCACTTCGCTCGAAGAGGTGACGAAGGAGGAGAAGCTACACCTGCACGAAGAGGACTGCTCAAACACCGTCGC